TCCTCATCTTCATCCAATCACAGTGCGTCGGGAAAACGTGCTAATAACGCACGCCAACGGCGACAGCATCGAAGCTGCTCTTCCCGTAGTTCCCTCAGCGATTATCAAGCTTTTAATGAGAACGATCAAATGGAAAGTGCTGAAGAAAATGACATTGAGTCAGAAGATGCAATCAATCGAGATTTAGGGGACAGGATTGAAAATAACTCCACGGCCGTACCGGTTGAATTTAACTGCGAAGATAGGCAGACCTTTGAGTTGAACCCATACGAAGAACGAAATTCGAGTGCAAATAATATAAATCTGGTTAACGATGCAGCAATGGATGAAGAGTTTCCCTTATTTTCTCCAATTTTGGGTGGCGCTGAATCCTCGCCATCACCAGAAGTCGATTTACAAAAGGATGTTGGAGTAATCGCAGATAAGAATGTATCGCAAATAACCGAGAGCGGAGAAGTAAATCGTAACTGAGTAAAATATATGAGTTGCGTCTAGCTTTAATTTTAACTTTTCACCTACATTGTACCACTCTTATGTGCGGTCATTCATTCTGTTACAAATTTTAAGCTTAACATTTATTCCCAGTCAAGGATAAAGATACATACATACAAACATAAAACTAAAGTGAAACGAAAAGTTAGTAAACTTATGTTTTCTTATAAATAACTCTAAAAAATTAACATAATAAAACTGCTAATATAATCCCTTTCTAAAGCTAGAAATTTTACAACTAAAAGGGTGCAACCCAAATGCTTTTCGATTTCATTAATTGCAATCAATTTCTTCTCGGCTGGATACTAATTTTGCCGTGTATCTTATCAGAACTCGATACATATTTTCTAGGCATCAAATAGGAAACGATTTGCAGGCTTCAACATCAAATAACCAGTTATTTATGACTTGCATTATTGCATATCTGAGTATATTTATTAATATTAATTAATACGAAATCAATTTCAGTGAAAAATGATTTTAATTTTTTGAATTTTATATGGAAATTGGCAGAAAATAAAAAATCATTTTCCATTTAAATTGCTGGTGAAACCGGCTGTTAGAGATCGACATATCTCGGCAGCGTGTTCGAAATCGCCCTATCTCAAAAAACATTTCAAGAACGCCATATTCGGAATTTTATTGAAAAACATCCTATCTCCAAATTTGGTTGAAGAACGGACTATTCTGAAATAGGACGTTCTTCAAATAAATTCTGAAATAAGGCGTTTTTGAAAAGTTTTTTGAGATAGGGCGTTTTCAAACTGGCAGACGAGATAGGTCAATCAATCTTCCACTGAGCAGTCGACTTTTAGTTTTAGAAAACGCATTTATGATTCAATTCTTGTGTATCTCGTGCTTTAAATAAATAAATGCATATACAGATGCAATCAACTAATTAGCAACGAAATTCAAAATGATATTGTTGGCAAATTATGTTTATTTATTAATTTTTAACAATTTTCAATTAAAATATAATTCAATCTATAATATAAACCACAATAATAAAAGTTTCAAAGCTTGCAAAAATTGAAAATAAAATGAATCAAACTTCAAAAATTTGTCATCAAAATTTTTAATTAGATTATTTAGAAAATGTTCGGGTATGCAGTTTGTAGCCCATTCAATTGTAGTCCAACAAAGTGTGCAAGTTTGAAGTAGCTAGGACTTGCAGTTGATTTTTTAGATTTTTAATAACTTAAAAGAAAAAAAAAATTTGATTATGTGTTACAGAAAAAAAAGGGGCAACACCCTGCAAAAAAAATTCTAAAAAATCAAAAATATTCTAATAAAATATTTTGAAAATTTTTTGAACTTTGACTCATTTTTTTGCAACTTGTGCAAGCTTTATAAGCTTTATTGTGGTTTCGGTAATAGTTTGAATTATATTTTAAATGAAAATTATTAAAAATAAATTAATAAAAATAATTTGCAAACAATACCAATCATTTTGAATTTCGTTGTTAATTAGTTGATCGCGTCTGTACATACTAGTGGTATTCGACTAAACCCTTAGAATTACCAAACGGTAAAATTTACATTTTTATACACTTTGTTATATGAACGCACATCAAACAAAATTTTTTGAATCTGTTCAATTTAAGTTTTCTTAGACAAATGCATAAGCTGGGAACTTACACATTGCTGTATAAATTCATACACATCGTTTACTCACCGACATCACATCACAAGTTACGTATCTCATTTGTTCTATTTTTTTTTTTTTTTTTTTTTTTAATTTCAAATCACTTACAGTCAGTTTATGTAGCAATAAATTTATATAGATTGTGAAGTTTACATGGCATTTATGCTGACTAGGACAGTCGGTGCACCATGACTTGTTTGCTTCATATGTAGACAACATTACAAGTTTGGGTGAATACCCTTACTATAATTTTAAATGAAGGTATCAACGTTGGATTTTGGTTCTTAATTTGCGGCGTTAATATCTACGATCCTCTTAAACAAAAAATAAAACCCATATTTTGAAACGTACAAATTTTTACATATGTATATGCAATCCCTTTAACTGTTTCAGTTATTCCTAACCCTTGGTTTTAATGCCCGAACATTTTTGGTAATCATAAAAATATATAAATAATTATGAAAAGAAAAATACCAAACTTGTGATACTTAAATATTTTAATAAAAAATTGAGAAAAAATCAAACCTTTTTGGCAAATAAAAATTGAAAAATGAGAAAAGATACAAAAATTCAAAAAATTTATAAATATTTTTTAGATTTCAAAGCTAACTTCAACTCATTATTTAACAACCTCTAATGCATACTAAAACATTTAAGTAATTTAACGATTCTAAATATTAAGAATGAACCTGTGTAATATCACATGTACCGAATATGTATGTATGTACATTTGATATTCGAAATTATGAATAAACTGATTGGTTAAATATGTATGTAAATAAGAACGTGTTTTAAATACTGTCGCTGCATTCTCTATTGTGGCTATCATGTCGCACACCGTCTTCAAAAGAGTCACAACTCAGAATTTGCAATTTTTGAGATTAAGCGCTATAAATGCTGTGTATTTTTACATTTCAGCAAAAGCTGGGGAAATTTTTGATATAATTTGTTAAAAAAAAACCCTGCCCATATGATTATCATGTGTTAATAAATAGTTTTTCGCATTTTCTGACAAACGTACTATTTTGAGTTGTGACACCTTTGAAGACGGTGTGCGATGTGTACAATTCGAGGCACTTTATGGAAGGTTTGTTTCTTCGTTGAAGATTAGTTTATAAATACATACATACATACAAGCATACATTTATACAAATACAAACTTTATTTTATAATTAAGAAATTAATAGAAATACCTATATACTTATGTATGTATGCATATAGTTTGTAGAAACCTATTTTTGAAAGCTGAATATAAATAAATTATTATATAAATGGCGTCATATAAAAATGCTGAAATGACAGTGCGTATTTTTTTTAAGGATGATAGTAAATATTTCGAAAATTTGTACATAAATAACTATATCCATTCCGGCAGTGGTGGACCCCACTTTTGTCGTTCTGTAGCAAGTTTAGTTTAGCAGGTGTGAAATTTGACCCTAGAGTACAAATTTTCATCGATTCGACGACTACCACTCTCATTTTACTTATTTTTCTTTTTATTATGTGATGCGGTTGCGGTCAGATTTTATGTGCGGTTAGCGCTTTATGTTCTGTTGTTGATAAATAGCGTGTTTTTTATGTGAACTATCGGAGTGTTTTTTTTCCCTTAGAATGTTCGTCGATAAGAAGTTGATGCATGCGCAAAATTAATTTATAATTAGAAGTTTTGGCGTTTTTTCATATTAGACGACATATCCTTTATCCTTTTTTGCCTTATATTGATCTGGTTTGTAATGTCCAAGTTTAGTCCTTTTTTGATACGCTTATGTGAAATATATTGAATAAAAAAATTGTTTGAGTTTTTATCGACCGAAAGTTGAAGTTGAATAGCACTAAAACGTACTTGCTATTCGAGGGATATAAAATTGTGTGAAGGATGCACAGCTGCATGCAAATCTTAAAACATGTAATATATAATTCATATTTGCTTACGAGACTACCTTGTTTCTGTCGAAATCGCTACAATTATTTCGCATGGAGTGTTAAAAACGCATACTGTGTGCGGTCGAGTTAGCTTAAATATCTTATGATGAAATTTTGAAATTCTCAATTTACTACGACGTATTTTTCTCAAAAACGTATGACTCAAAACATGTGATTTATAAAAATATAAATCAATTATAAACAATATACATATAATTTAATAAAATAAAATGTCTCTCATACTTAAGCCCCACGATTGAGAGAATACAAAGGTTGCGCCGATCTCGGACCGCTATTCCTCTCTTAACGAATTTGACAGAATCGTTGTTTGCATGACGTCACACTGGTGCAACTTGTTTACATTTTCCTTGCAACATTTTTTCTTCTTCCATTCTTGCTCACGTTTTGGCATTTCTCTCTCGCAATTGCACCAGTGTGACGTCACTCAAAAGTTATTCTCAAAAATCCTCTCTGATCGGCGCAATCTTGTATTCTATCATTCTTGCTTAAGCCCTGTATGCAGCTCTCAAGAAAACGGTCAAGAAAAAATGGCCATTATTTCGCGTGTGTGTCCAAGGAATTTTAACATTTTTTATACCTCACAGCCTGTTGCCTCACTCTTTCCTCAAGAAATAATGGAACGGGCATATATTTCTGTTGCAAACCTGGGTTGCCTTGTGCTCTTTTTTCACAGAAAACTTTAGAAAACCGTAGTAGAAAGCGTACTAAATTTCTGAAGAACTGCGTACTGCCTTATGGAAATTTGACTCAAGAAAATTTCTTAGCCATTTCTTGTACGTCATTTTATATGGAGTTTTTGCTTTTCTTAAGAGCTGGATACTAAGCTTTACTTGAGAGCTGCATACAGGCCTTTAGCGAATACAACTCTGTTCAAAATTAAGAACGAATACAATAAAAGGAAACGTCAAAAAAAGTAAAAAAAAGCGTAGTAAAAAGTAAAAAGTACATAATTGTCCGCATTTTCTCCGATATTTGCTCTAGTTAAATTTTTTCCTAATATTTATTATAATTCCTCACTTTACTATAGAAGTTACCAAAAACGAACGAAATGGATAAGCTGCGTAAAAATGCACAAGCAGAGGATCTATCAAACGTAGAGTTTGAGACTAGCGAAGATGTAGAGGTGGTACCAACTTTCAATGCTATGAATCTGAAGGAGGAGCTGCTGCGTGGAATTTATGCTTATGGTAAGTAGTATGAGGGAGTAACAAAAACGAAAATAACATACATTTTTATATACATACGTGTGTAGGGTTCGAAAAGCCATCGGCCATTCAACAACGTAGTATTAAACCTATTGTGAAAGGTCGCGACGTCATCGCACAGGCACAATCCGGCACAGGAAAAACGGCCACCTTCTCAATCTCGATTTTGCAAAGTTTGGATACAACATTGCGTGAAACACAAGTATTATGTTTATCGCCAACTCGTGAGTTGGCTGTCCAAATCCAGAAAGTGATCCTGGCGCTTGGCGATTTCATGAATGTACAATGCCATGTGTGCATTGGTGGCACCAACTTGGGAGAAGATATACGAAAATTGGATTACGGACAGCATATAGTTAGTGGTACACCGGGACGAGTATTTGATATGATTAAAAGACGTGTGCTGAGGACTAGAGCCATTAAAATGCTGGTACTCGATGAAGCGGATGAGATGTTGAATAAAGGTTTCAAGGAGCAAATTTATGATGTATATCGCTATTTACCGCCAGCAACCCAAGTTGTGTTAATATCTGCTACATTGCCGCACGAAATTCTTGAAATGACTTCAAAATTTATGACAGATCCGATTCGTATTCTCGTAAAACGGTAAGTAAATCGGGAATAATAAATAAGCTTTGTTAACAACTTAAATATTCTTTGATTTTAGTGATGAATTGACACTGGAAGGCATTAAGCAGTTCTTCGTCGCTGTTGAGCGCGAAGAATGGAAGTTTGATACACTATGCGATCTCTATGACACATTAACAATTACACAGGCCGTGATTTTCTGCAACACTAAGCGTAAGGTGGACTGGTTGACAGAGAAAATGCGCGAAGCGAATTTCACTGTAAGCTCAATGCATGGCGATATGCCACAGAAAGAGCGTGACGAGATCATGAAAGAGTTTCGGGCTGGCCAGTCGCGTGTACTGATCACGACAGATGTGTGGGCGCGAGGTATAGATGTGCAACAAGTGTCTTTGGTAATCAACTATGATCTGCCAAATAATCGTGAACTGTATATACACCGCATTGGCCGTTCAGGTCGTTTCGGACGCAAAGGCGTCGCTATTAATTTTGTAAAATCTGATGACATTCGCATTCTGCGTGATATTGAGCAATACTATTCCACACAAATTGATGAAATGCCAATGAATGTGGCAGATTTAATTTAAATACTAAGAAAAGGATGCGTAAGTATCACAAACATTTGTAATACAACCATTTAAATTAAGGAATTGGGCTGGGCAAAATTCGCACACGCCTTTGAAATAAGTTTACTTCCCATAATTATCGTATCTGAAAATTTGAAGTAACATTTAAAACTGTAATTAACATTTAAACGAATAAAGTATAAACGCTACTTTAAAAAGAGTGCTTATTTGGAAAGGTGATGTATTGTTGGACGATTTTTCGTCACCTTTGTCAAATTTGGCTTGATGACAAACCGGTTTCGGCGTTGTGTTATCTTCAGTGTCATTTTGCTAAACCTAATTTGAGTCTAGACTCCTACCTGTCGAACTGTCGAAAAAACCAACAATCAAAATGAGAGTTTTGAAAAGTCCCGTTTTTAATACTTTGTACTAATTTTTAATTCTAAATTATTTTCTTAACAAAAATAAAAATTACCCTTTGGTTTACAAAATAGCCAATTATTATTATTATAGTAGCCTTTATTAGGATCGGAAAAACCGCTGGAAAAACCATTACGTCAAAGCTTCAGGTGTAGCAGGTATTTGAACCAGTCCACCCGTCGCCTGCATTTGTGTAAGGGTATTGCTTGCGTTGGCCACTGTGGTGCTATCCACTTTCTCTTCTGGTTTTAAAAGTGTGCCCAAGATAATCCCAAGGAACAAAATCAATCCAACTTGGTGGTTAGAAAAAAACTTCTTCGCACAGTCTGATGGGTTATTAATATTGAGTGAATATATCTAAAAAGACAGAAAAAAAATACATAAATTTATGCTAATCAACTCATATGTATATTAGAAAAATAAGATTACTTGCTGTACTAAGTGGGCTCCTACTACACCGACTGCTGCATAGTATGCTATTGTTTGTTCGGTCGCTATACCAGCCAAAGTAAGTCCAGATAACATAGCCGTCGTAAATCCAGATAGCCAGATTTTAGTATTATCCCCAAATCGTAAAGCCGTTGATTTCACACCGATTTGAATGTCGTCGAATTTATCCTGATGAGCATATATGGTGTCATATACAATCGTCCAACATATACCGGAGAGGTACAAAGGCAAACAAGCTTCCCAATTGACCGCACCTTGTGTCGCGCACCATCCTAGAAGTGCACCCCAGTTAAAAGCCATGCCCAGTACCAGCTGAGGCCAATATGTTATCCGCTTCATTAGTGGATATGTAACGACTAATCCTAAGGAACTTGCTCCTAATACTATTGATTGCAAATTTAACTGCAGCAGCACTAATAAGCCCAAGCTCAACTGAGCTGACAGAAAAACAATAGCATCAAATTGCGTGATTTCGCCAGCGGCAAGTGGTCGATTTCGAGTACGTTCGACTTTCGTATCAATATCTTTGTCCCAGAGATCATTAATAGTACATCCGGCGCCACGCATTATCAATGCCCCAGTGGCGAAAAGGCCCAACATTTTCCAATCAGGCCAGCAGCCAGCATTTGCACTCAGCGCAATACTCCAACCACAAGGCCAGAAAAGTAAGTAAGTACCTATTATGCAAGCGATTAAGCTGATAACAACCAGATGTATTTCTATTAAAAATTTCAAATTATGCTCACCTATAGGTCTATCCAAACGCATTAAGCGCCAATATGGTTTAACCGCATTTACTATGTTATGCTTTATCACATGAGATTTACTTAAGTTGTCTACACTCATATCTCCGCTAGGGTTCTTCTCTTGTATGCCCAAATTTTGGGGCAATCGTTCTCTGCTTTCGTTGCTTGCATACCTGTTTTTAATTGATCGTAGAATCATCATGTTTCCTGGGTACTTTTCCAAGGTGGAATTACTATGTTGAGTATAACCGATAAGATGTGAGGGCCATTTGGTCAAATACCTAAGGCTAGTGTGAACATCTTTTCCTTCGAGTCTCGCCGTTCTTCCGAGCAAACACATTTGTGGTGCAGCGTAGGCGACTGTTGGCAATGTGACACCTCTCTGAAGGCATTGTACATTGCGTATCAATAGCATGCTTAATGGTTAAGGCGGGTAATAGAACTAAAAAAAATGTTACATTTCCGGTTTGTTATATAGTTGAAATTTGCATGGGATTAACATACATACCTTTTTTTTGGCAATGGCAAGATAAATTGGATGTTCTTATGCTGCTGCTTTTGTGGTTGTTGAGCGGCTTTATTAGCTCTGCTGCTGCTGCTCTTTTGCTGTTTCAAATTATTGAATTAAACTTGAGTATGTATTTTAGCATCCGAATTCTCTCTTCCGCAGCTGCAATTACCTTTGATGAATGTTTCGTAACCTTGACCTCGTCAGCATTTGCACTCGTTACGTATAAATGAGTTATTAAGTGGATAAGTTACCCTAGTTTTCCATTAAAGTGCACGCTTTTGCTGACGAAGATTTTCTGCTGATTTCTAGCGAAAATTCTCAGATTCTTCTTTTGCCAGAATACATTTCAACACATGCTGCAGCACAAAAACATACGAAACAAAACAAAAACATACGAATGGGATATTATATGGGACCAAATATCGGTTGGGACCAAAAGCACTACCGGTAGTGCAGGGAGAAAACCCGCGTTAACACCCTGTACTTCCGGTAGTGCTATTGACAGTTCCTATATACATCTTCGTGGGGTGGTTTTAGTGTTGCCATGATTTGTCTTATAAAAAACGGCGTTTTGTGGGACTGATGCGCAGTATTGCCAAGTTTGTAATTTGAAGAAGCACTAAAACCCAAGAAAAATCGCGTTTTTTCTCGAAAAAAGCACCAAACTTTTATCGGAGTATTTAATGGACTTTATATGCGTACAATTTTTTTTTTTGTAGGAATGCAGATTTAAATTAATAACAAGTAATTTTTAAACAAAAAACAAAAGCGACTTCAATTCTCATATAAAAATTTAGGATTATCGTTAATCTCTCCACGATCTCATTGTCGGATCCAAACAAAATTAGTATGGGACCACCGTTGAGGTACCACCTTTCCAATGAAAAAAGAAGTATAGAAATCGGTTTACGCGGTCCCAACAAAGAATGTAGATAACAAGAAGGGACAACTCGTTACAATTGTAGCGAAAGTGAGTAACAGGAACATGCCTTCTCTTTTCATCCAATTAAGAAATGTACTAGAGCAAAAGAGAACGCACGCACCTGTTACTCACTTTCGCTACAATTATAACGAGTTGTCCCTTCTTGTTATCTACGTTCTTTGGTTCTATGGGGAAAGCTGGTGAATAATATTTGTACTATGGGGAGACAGTTTTGCCAATCTGCTGTGTGAAATTAAATCTTTTTTGACAGCAGTAAATTTTTGATAACCGCAGATTTATACGGAATAAAATATTAAAAATTGAAGTGAACTTAATATTAAAAAAAAACATCTACCATCGTTGATTGCAATTCATCAATAAAGGGCTTTATTCTATATAACGAACGATAGGCAAAACGGACGATTCGTCTGCAGACGACAACCTCTCAGATAACGATTTTAAACTCTATCGGTCGTCTTCGTCTTGCTTTTCATACATTACGTTGAAATGGTCTCGGTTGCGTTTAAACCGGCTAAAATGATGCCGCCGGACTAATTTTTGAAGCATTCCTCTGCAGACGAATCGTTCGTGTTGCCTAACGTTCGTGATACAGAATAAGGCTGTTAAGCTTTTATTTAACAAAAAATTACGCACATCAACCATCTTTGCGATTGTCAAAATTTTCTATGCATTTTTCAAAAATTTCACTAGTCTCATGAGCTACTGAAATTTTATTCACCTCATAGTTGTCAAAATTTTACTCGCCGCGAACTTTGTTACCGATTCACACCCGCTCTAAGTACAAAACCTACACATAGTATAATATGTGGCGGTGGCTTTTGTCTCAAGAAGTGCGCTAGTTTCAGTGAGACATTGGGCCTCTCAACTCAGACTCAGTTTTTGCGCAGATGGGGCGAGCGCAAGCTCAAGAATTTGTACTGAAAATCGAGTTGGAGCTTAAACCCACTTTTTAAGCTTGAGGCTCAATCACTCACTAAGGCCCCAACGACTGGCATCTGAAAGTATAAATACATAGAAGGAGCAATGCGCTTAACCTAGCCATAGCGCAGATGGCCAAAGTAACTCTACAAAATTTGTTACAGAGGGATTTGTGCAAGGAGACCGTGTCGTCGTCTGCAGAAGCAGTGTTGCCAGAAATTTTTCATGAAAAATATTCTGCATGAAATTTGGGGTAAAAAGTCTACTCAGCGAATTCTTGACTGGAAAAGAATTCAAAATTATTTATTTTATTAATATCAGTTTCAGATTTTGACGATATTTTTTGAAAATAAGTCTTAATTTTGAAGATAAATCATCACTTCTGGCAGCACTATTATGCATACAGCATCGGACGAGTCTAGGCCTAGTGTGGTAACAGCATGAGTACATTTATTCCCTCGAATAAAACTAAATGTGTACTTATCCGTTACTATACCGTTTCGCTGCAAAAACTATAAGGAGGAGAAGACGGTTTCGCCTCTTCTCTGCAACTGAAGTCATTGATTACCGCCACTAAGATAATTATACAAAAGCTTTAAGAAACTACATACATAAGTAAGTTTGCATAAATATGGCCGAAAGCCAACGAGGAACGTACCAAACCCACAAACCGATCGAAGCGGTTAACGCAANCTTTGAACTTTCGGCCCAACGAGGAACGTACCAAACCCACAAACCGATCGAAGCGGTTAACGCAATGAGCTTCACCACATTTTGCACACACCCCCAACTTCTGAAAAAGAAATGAACTTCTTTTGCACACGGCACTGCTAATTGAGATGGTGCTACCAAAGTTTTTGCACACGCCAACCTAATGGCCGGTAAACTAGAAATAAGTGTCACAAGTGCTGGCTGGTATCAAATCCATTGAGACAACAGTCATTGCCGACAAGAAAGTTGGTAAACGAACGTTAGTGACCGGAGTGAAGAATTGATTGCACTTACCGCTTCTGACCAAAGTACTAACTGTTGTTACCAGTTGACAAATACATATGTACATATATATGTATGTATGAATGTGAACTAATTTTTTTACTTTTTGTTTGTACCCGTTGCTATAAATATTGTTATACTACATGCGTAATGTATGGCCAGTTAATAGCAAACAGTTTCTTGATTAAAGAATCTATGGAAATATTTAGGGTGGATTATTTACGGTTAATT